ACTTTGTAGTACAACTGTAGTACGCGGAGTAGCTGGAGAGCTGGAAGATGAGCGCTGGCGACTTTGTAGTACAACTGGAGTACGCGGAGTAGCTGGGGAGCTGGAAGATGAGAACTGGCGACTTGGTAGTACAACTTGAGTACGCGGAGTATCTGGGGAGTTGGAAGATGAGAACGGGCGACTTGGTAGTAGAACTTTAGTACGCAGAGCAATCGGTGGAGCTGGAAGATGAGAACTGGCGACTTTGTAGTACAATTTTGGTACGCTTCATTCCAGCTTGCTTTTTTTCAGTGACCCAAGCTAAGGTCCCGAGGTAGGGAGAGACGAGAACAGGGAAAGAGGAGGAAGGAAGGTGTTCCCAGCTACGACGCAAGCGTCCAAGGACACACCAAAAGAAGAGCGGAGAAGGGTTCCCAGCTATGACAAAAGCATCCAGGGACACCCAAGGAGGAAGGAAGGTGGAGAGGAAAGAGAGAAAGAAAGAAAGAAAGAGAGAGGGAGAGAAAGGGAGAGGAGAAACAAGGAGGAAAAGGCAGGTGTTCCCAGCTACGAACAATCGTCCAGGGACACACCAAAGAAAGAAAGGGGTGATCCTGAGTCTTCCATTCAGGAAAACCCCAAAAAGCAAGGAAAGAAAGGGGAGGGAAGGGGAAGCAGGGGGACTAAGCTCGCAACAGGTTCCAATGAACCTTGAACAGACTTCGGTCGCTGCGACCACGTACGGCCTGCCCAGGGGCTGCCACCTCTGACCGCTGCGGTCACGTAAAGGCATAAGCCAGCTTGGAATTCCAAAGATGAGACAAAAATCATCGTACGTACGGCCTAGGCCACCTACGCTCGCTGCGAGCTGCTCTGTATCCGGGCAATGGATACGTTCGACGTACACCCGTTCGACGGGTCCACGGGAGGCACTCTGCGGGCTCATCCCAGGTTGGCGCAAGGCCAAACACACTTAGGATAGGGTGTACTGATCTGAAAGCGGTGCCACACGCCAGCCTAAGAAACCCAAATCCTGAAAAGACCAGGTGAAAGGGGTCTGAGTTCCTGTAGTTAAAGGCCACGAACCGACGAGGCGACAAGTTGACGGCGTTCCGTGCGCGTCTGCAGCAACGAAAAAGTCATGTCGGTGAGGTTCTTGGCTTAGCCTCTCGCCATTCGAAGAAATGGAAAATGGCAGGTACGTCGATTTGGCGTCCCAAATCGATTTCACAGACCAATGCAAGCGTCTTTGTTAGTGCCAGACTTGCATGGTCCCTGGCACCCCCTGCTGTGAAACAAAATCCAAAAGGATCCCTATGATTCCAAGGGTTACACACACATACGCAGACTCATATACACACGGACATAGATACACGCACAGGAACCCACACACTACCTCAACTCACTCGACTTAACACTTCACACTGCACACTTAACAGATAACTCGCACTCTGACTTCCTACGTGATGAAAAATGCTTTCGGGCCACTCGTCGTCTAGTTGTTGTCGGCGCCCAGGACAAAACCTGGGAATGCAGACTGAGTTCCGTATTTCGGGCCGATGGCATATGAAGGATCCCACTGACCGCATCCAGTTGGGGCAAAAAGGGTCACCGAGCATTTCCGATCTCGGCCGCACTCGGGTGCTTGCAATGGAAGAGGTTGCCCGTAAACTCTTGCTCGGCTACTCCGATTGGTTTGGTTCCTCTTTGCGCTTGCGCAGTTTCTTTTTCCCTGCAAGACCACCACCAGATGAACCCATGCGCAGCGCGGAGTTTTTGGGGGGTGAAGTTGCGCACTCAAGGTACCCAGACGGCGCAAAATGCGCGACCGTCCACAGACAGTCGGAGGCGCTGCATGCTGGGGCTGCAGCGCATCATGGACAAATGTCTGCCGCCATTGCTGCGCTGGCGCTGGCCAGTGGCTCTGGCTCTTTCGATGCTGCTGGCAACCTTATGGTGACTGCTGAGCATGTGCAGGCGCAATTGGCTGGTTTGCGTCTGTTCAGCGTCTGGTGCGCAGGTGTATTAATTGCTCGGTGTTTCTTCAGGTTAAGGTGGCCAGTCGGCGAGCTCAACCTTCAGATTCGGAGCGCTTTCCGCGGCCCCTTGCCACCTTCTGAGGAGAGGCCAGCTGATAGCGACAGTGATCCAGAATGCATTGCCAAGCCAGTGCACGGCTTTGGTTCCTTTGCCGCGCCTGCTGCTACCCAGCCATGTCCAGCCCTTCACACAGACGAGGCGAGCGTGCCCGTCGCAGAGGCAGCGGTTGAAGAGCCCGACCATCAACCTGTACCTGTCCCTTTGGCGGAAACGGAGCCTGAAGATGAGCGGGCAGAAGATGTTTCGGAGGCGGCTTTGACGTTTGACCAACTCTTGCCAGAAGAACAGTTCTTCCAACGAGGCCTGGGTGAAGGAGACGCGATGATCTTTGATGATGGCAAGTTCAAAGACCAAGCCCTCCTCCGGAAAGTTTTGTTGAGCGGGCAGAGCGAGCTCAAGCTCAGTCGTGTTGTCGACCTGTACCACCATGTTGACTCAACCGATGCCAAACGTCGGAAAGTCCGACCTAGGCTCGCCCAGGCCGGGGGGTATAATAGTGTCCATGTTGCGCGTGCGTTCAGCTTTTGCTGCCTTTCCTTGCCCTGTGGCAGGTGAAGGAAGTTTTGGGCGCTGCTTCTCGCCGCTTTCCTCGCCTCGGGTACCTCCACCTGCCGACTCAGAAGAAAGAAGAAGGCAGTGTCAAGTGTCAAGTTGAGAACATGGTCTGCAAGCCCTGCCAACCAGATCCTCTTCCATAACGAGTCCATGAAGGCCTGCCGGGTTTCCATCCGTGAGCTGTCCAAACGCCGTGCGCTCTGGCAGGATCGCCAACGCGACAGGCCGCAGGAGGAGCCTCCCAGATCTGCCCCGCCGCCGATCCCCAGTCGGCCTGCAGGTGCTGCAGGCCCTGCGCCAGCAACGCCACCGACAGGATGACGTGGAACATGGTTCTTAGCCGCATTGTGGCTAGCTTATGTACAGTGGATGACACGGCGCAAAGACGAAGGGCGCGACCGCAGATGAGTCGACCACAGTCCACATGAGATCAGACCTTAGGCTGACGGTTTCGGGAGAATCTCCGCAGATTCCATGACAAGGGTTCATGATGGTTCATGCAATACTATGCATCAAGCATTCAGTTCTTGTTTCTTGCATTTGAAAACATATGTTTGCGTTTGAAAACACCCGCAGCGCCTGAGCGCAACCGGCCCGCTCCATGCCCTATGAGGATTTCGTCGGCGCGGGAAAAGTATCCACATTGTGGCGCAAATCTGGTTGAGCCCGTTTATCGGCCCGGCCGTCCACAACGTGGAATTGTACAGTGCCAGATCATTGCAGAGCCCAGCGTTCTGGAGGCTATCTCATTCTTGGCTGCGTCGCTGGCGCTATAGAATGTTCCTTGACAGGGCATCCTTTCAAGGAGAAGGTGCTCTGTTGCGGCTGCTGGATCGCCGCGTTCAGGTGAAGGTGAGGCAGCAGCTTGCTGCAGCTTGGGCGCGGGAGATTCTATGGCGAAGAGCAGGCGAAGCTGGCGCCTTTTGTCCTTGCCTGTTGAGCAGCTGATTCAAAAGTGCTGGGTTTGGTATGAGCCGCTTATGTTTGGCAGGGTGGATGGTATGAGTCATGAGAGATTGCTCCCTGTCATCCTGCGCCCACGCCAGGCGTCGTCAGCAATTTGCCGCTTCAGGTGACCGAGAAGACATGCTGGCGCTGGACGGGAATGCAAAGCTGCGTAGGAGAACTTGCGGCATGCCTTTCGCTGAGCTTGTGGAGTCCACGCGCGTGGACAAATTCCTTCTTCGTGGCTGTAGTTGCAAGCCCCACGGACGCGATGCGCTTTGCAAGAAACATGCTGCAGATCGCGAGTGATTGCCCGGTGGGAGAGATCGGAAAACGCCGGTTGAAAAGGGCTCTCCACAAGGCCCAGGACGTTTGCCATCTTGAGGTGCAATTGAAAGGTTTTGGCTCTTGGCAGCCAGCTTGCACTGTCCCTGAAAGTTTGCTTTCGAAGTATTTTGCTTCTCCGGCTGACAAGAACATTCGACACAGGAGCCTCCCCCCACAAGTTTGTTTTGCGACAGCATTTTTTGCCACACCTGGTTGATTGTTATATTGCGAGTCTTGAACCATGGTGTCTGCAGGAGAGAGCGACGGATCGAGAGCAGAAAGCAGAAGTGCTGGGCCGGTATGCGACCTGGACTTCGTCGGCGGAAGACCTTTCAGGCTTCATGGAGTTCTGCGCGGCCAAGGCAAGAGAGCGCGTGCAAGACGCACAAGGAGACAGGCGCAGCAGCTGCTGCCAGAACCGCCGGGTTCTTGCTGGCTGTGACGCCTTCAGGACCTCACACTATGGTCAGTGGACCCCATCACGCGCCCCCTTTGCGAAGGACTTGTTGTGGATGTGCACGAGCGCAATGGAGCAGAGAGTCTTTCGCAGCGTTATCACTTCTGCTCGACGCTGCTGCACCGAATGCCTCAAACCCTGACGATAGTCCATGATGACGGTTGGCGCTTGAAACTAATGCGCCGGGACCAGAGGCAGTCGTCTACGTCAGATGTGGCCTGTCGCTTGGCCCAGACGAACTTCATAGTGGATCGTTTCCACGCTGCGGCTCACACTGTGCGATATTGCAGCCAGCATTGCCTTCCATCGCTGCCTCGGAATGAAGAAATTCAGGCAGACTTCCCCACTGATGCTGCGGAAACTGTAAATAGCCAGTTCAGCCCACTTGGACACGTGATTCACCACACATGCTCGTAATGGCAACTTTCCATGCAGATCCATCCCATGAACCTTGACCTCAAAAGATGCGCGATGTCCACAACAGGGCCCGCCTGCAGGCTCTGGGTGATCGCAGCCGGGCAGCGGCGAAGCGGCGGCGACGTGGATTCAAGTGATATGCATCACGCGTCGTCGAATGGAACGGAAAAATGCTGCAGCATCCCCCTAAAAATTCCCCCTACAGATTGGTGCTACCTGGGTACTCCCGAGCGTCCATTTTATAGAACTATAGAATTGAGACACTCAGGTTCCTTGATTCTAAAAGGAGACCACGAGATACCACGGGAAGTTTCCGACAAGGGTGCAATTTGACCTAGTTGACCTGGGGGTCGTGATTCTAAAGTGATAGAACTCTGAGATCTATGTTTCCGTGAGCTTTGTACTGGTGACATGGGGACTTTGATTTCTTAGTGGCAGACATGTTGATGGTCATTGACTGATTATGATTCTATAGAGGAACAACCTTTGAGTGCTTTTTTTGTGATAGAATCAGAGTCTTTTGAGCATATAGTATTACAAGGAATCGGTCTGTGAGATGGGGTTGTGATTCTTTAGTGTTGAAAACTTCATACATACTTTCCGTGAGCTTTCACTTCACGACATAGGGGCTGTGATTCTATAGCGTGCGCTTGAGTTGGGGGGCATGATTTTATAGAGACCCCCACATGGGGGGCGTGGATCTATAGTATGAAATGGTGCTACCCAAGTAGCCATATGAATTTCAAAGGGGATGTTGCGGCAGATTCAATGGAGCGGTCAGCTTAACATGGTATATTGCTGCAGTGTTAGCTTTGGATGGTGTGCTCCAAATTTGCCCCACAGCGCCAACCGGCCACCGATCACCGACTAGCCCGTCACCAGCCGCTGACCGCGGCCACCGGCCTCGCGGCCGCTGACTGCCGCCGCCGACGCCGCCACCGGCTACCGGCCACCGGCCGCCGGCCACCGGCCACGCAAAATTAGTCTATCGCCTGGCCATGTAGCATTTCTATTCATGTGTCTCCCAGGTCTGTCACTCCCAGTGTCCGCCCTTTTCCGCTGGCCATGCAGCGTTTCTTCTCCCATTGATGTCAATACGGAGGACAACCAAGAAAATCAGACTATGCAGTCGGATGCCACGGAAGACGTTGGGTTCCCGGCTGGGTTGTCTCCCACTTCCTTTCATTCTCGGTGTTCCCGGCCGGCTTGTTTCCCTCCTTGAATGTGTCTCCCACTTCTTTTCATTTGTCTCCCAGGCTGGGTGCTTGTTCCTTTTATTTGTCTCCCGCTTCTTTTGTTTCCCATGTCTGTCACTGCTAATTTCTGCCCTTTTCCGCTGGCCATGCAGCATTTCTATTCATGTCCCAGGTCTGTCACTGCTGGTGTCCGCCCTTGTCCGTTGGCCATGCAGCATTTCTATTCTTTTGTCTTGCAGGTCTGTCACTGTTGTGTGTCCTTGTGTATTGGCCATGAAGCATTTCTATTCGTTTGTCTGCCAGGTCCGTCACTGCTGGTGCCATGTAGCATTCATTTGTTTCCCAGGTCCGTTACTGCTGCTGTCCGCCCTTTTCCGTTGGCCATGCAGCATTTCCATTCATTTGTCTCCCAGGTCTGTCACTGCTGGTGTCCGCCCTTTTCAGCATTTCTATTCATTAGTCTCCCAGGTCTGTCACTGTTGGTGTCCGCCCTTTTTCCGCTGGCGATGCAACATTTCTATTCATTTGTTTTCCAGGTCTGTCACTGCGTCCGCCCTTTTCCGCTGGCCATGCAGCATTTCTATTCATTTGTTTCCCGGGTCTGTCACTGGTGCTGCCGCCCTTTTCCGCTGGCCATGTAGCATACCTATTCACTTATCCCCCATGTGACTTCTTTCTTTTTGTCTTTCAGGTTTGGTGCCTGCACTGCTGTTTTCTGCCCTGTCCGCTGGAACAGGTTCGCGTGTGAAAGGTTCTTGCTCCATTGAAAGGGGTGCGTGACTGTCTCCGGGATTGCATTGCTGCCACGCTGTGTAACTCTCTCAGCTTTGTTTTCCTTTTCGGGCAAGCGTTGGATGAATGACCGGATTGGATTTCGGCGGCGTGGCAGCGATCTCTCTGTTCAGTTGCGACGGAGGGCATACGTCAGGCACCAAAAATCAATTTCATGTCACATCCGCTCCTCATGCTTTTATTTCTTGTCCTCACGTGGTCAGCTGCCCGGTGATTGAGCAGCATGACCAGCATCATGTTCGCACTTGAAGAATAATTCCCCAAAAGGTTTACTGTTAAGGGCTTCTCAATTCTTTCTTAAGATGTGTCCGCCCGCTCTGTACTGCTGTGTCCGTCTCTGCCTTGCAATCCTTTACATTTGTCTCCCAGCTCTGGACGTCGCAAGCTCTAAACTAACTGTTTGGGGTCTACGGTGGTGTAATATCACCAGATAGACGAAGAAGGTGCCATTCCAAGGTAGCAAACCTTTTGTCAGCCACCGGAGGGCAAAAATTAGAAGAGGAAGGAGCCATTCCAACGTTGCAGACCTTTTGTTAGCCTTGCGAGGCATTCCAACGTAGCAGGCCTTTGTTTTGTGAGCAAACCGAGGGTAGAATTTGCTATTCCAACGTAGCAGACCTTCTGTGAGCCACCCGGGGATAAACTTAAGGTGCCACGCCAAGGCAGCAGACCTTCTGTGAGCGAAATTTAGAGGGAGGAGCAGTAGACCTTATGCGAGGGCAAAACTTTAGGGGAGCCAACATAGCTCCACTGAGATCCATCTACAGAAGCCTAGAGGTCTGAAATTCAGAGAGATCATACAAAGATCCAAAGGCCTGGAGATCCAGACGGATCTGCAGGTGTAGAGGTCTAGAAACCCACAGATCTAAAGATGGAGGTTTAGAGGTCTTGGGTCTTGAGATCCAGGCAAGTCTTGCAATCTAAGTTCTACGCGGGTGTAGAAAGATGTTCAGATCCAGATCCAGAGATCAAGAGCTCTTTTCACAGGTCTTGAGATCCACAGAAATTTCGCGCACGCCACGCAATCTGCACTTCAAGGTTCGCAATCGCTGCGCCTACCACGAAGTCTGCGCTTATAGACAGGTTCACCCAGCGCTGTGCCTGCCGCGCAATCTGCACTTCGAGGTTCACCGCCGCGCCTGCCACGCAATCTGCACTTCGAGGTTCACGAAGTGCTGCGCCTGCCATGAAAGCTGCAGTTCCAGTGCACAAAGTGCTGCGCCTGCCACGAGCCCTGCGCTCCTGCCATGAGGTGCTCAAAGTGCTGTGCCTGCCACAAAATCTGCACTTCCAGCGCACAAAGCGCTGCGCCTGCCAGGAAATCTGCGCGCCCAGATTCACATCGCGCAGCGCTGCCAAGGCGGTTCGCAGTGGCAGGCGCAGCTCTTTGTGAAAGGAAATTTTGTTTTTGATACCAAGTAGTTTTCTTTTTGATAGGATGTAGAAATTTTCTTTTTGATACAATATATATATATGTATATATAAATTTGTTTTCTTTTTGATAGCCCGGCCGAGATCGTGCGTGTCGAGGGCGCGAAATGCAGGTGAGATTGCGTTTTGGCCCGGTCGCGGGCAACCCTCTGCGGAGATCGTGCGCATCGAGGGCGCGAAATGCAGGTGAGATTGCGTTTTGGATTGGTCGCGCGCGACCCTCTGCGGAGATCGCGCACGCCGAGGGCGCGAAACGCAGGTGAGATTGCGTTTTGGATTGGTCGCGCTTGTCTCGTACGAAACGCTCGTTTTGGAGACTTGGCGCTTCACTTTTGGAGGAAGTCTCGTACGAAACGCTCGTTTCGGAGACTTCGCGCTTGACTTTTGGAGGAAGTCTCGTACGAAACGCTCGTTTCGGAGACTTCGCGCTTGACTTTTGGAGGAAGTCTCGTGCGAAAGCTCGTTTTGGAGACTTGGCGCTTGACTTTTGGAGGAAGTCTCGTACGAACGCTGGTTTTGGAGACTTGGCGCTTCACTTGTGGAGCTGGACTCAGACCTGGCCAGTTTGTAGTACATATTATGTAGTACGGGAAAGAGCCTCCAGAAGTGGCCAGTAGTACAAATGTAGTCCGGAAAACAGCGTTGCGGAGCTGGACTCAGAAGTGTGGGATATGACTGCTTCTAGTGTGCGGGCAGACCGTGTGGCGAATTACGTTCGTGATGTCGCAGTGCCACGCGGATTTCCGAGGTCTTGGTGGGAAGTGCGTTTGCGCGGCGCCGTGCCACTGGGGAGCGCGAAACATTGTCGTATACACGCGGCGTGTCGCTGGTGAGCGGGATGATAGGCGGTATCGTGTGATAGGATTGCTTCTAGTGCTGGGATGTCCCGCGAAGATCTTATTGGTTAGAAGAGTTATAAATGGTTAGATAAGTTCCAATAAGCTAGTTATAAGCTCTAGTAAGTAGGTTATAACTTCTAGTAATGGTTTATAACCTCTCTAACCACTTCTAGGTTTGAGGCTAACCTCTATAAACTTTATATCGTTTATCTAACCTCTTAGCTTGTTTGTTAGAGGTTAGCCACTTCAACAAACCCTAGGTTACTAAGTGGTTAGCTGATTTGCTAACCATTTAGCTTAAGGGTTAGCTGGTAAAGCTCTCCGAGGACTGAAAAATGTGGTGTCGGTGACTTTTTGGTCACCAAGTCTCACCACAACATGTTTGAATGTTTTTGATTTGTTTTTTGAAAAATCTACAGTGTACACATAGTAATTTTGCATTTTCATTGTTGCATTTTCATTAATTGTGGGTTCTTGCCATGTCATGTCCAAGCCTGGTGGGTTTACCCTGTAGAGAGCATGCATGTTTAGTTGTGATTTGCCATGTTCATTTGAAATTTCACACTTTCATTTTTTGACTTTTTGGTCACCATGTCATGTCCAAGCCTGGTGGCTTTACCATGTAGAGAGCATGCATGCTAGTTGTGATTTGTCATGTTCATGTGTTTGTTGCTTGTATAGGTTTACA